ATTGCACAAAATTCCCGTATAAATTTCTATTTGATTATCACATGAAATACACATACAATTTAATATAATATAATATAATATAAAATTATAAATATATATAAATAATAATAATAATAATAATTTAGTTTCTCTTTGGATAAATCTGACCGATTGAATATCTCGTATTTTCCACCTAGAAAAACGTGCCTGTTTTACAAAGAGCAATAGGGATAATCCAAATGCCATAGAATCCCAAGGGGTCATTCAATTACGGGATACGTTTTTTCAATCGTTCACGTGCTTTACTTATCTATACAAATGCACTTTATATGTATATATATATATATGTATTTCTATATATATATTATGTGGGTGTTACTTTGCGAAATCCATTAATTCATGAAATAACTAGCTAAACTCTGAAAGAACTCTATACTGATATGTTTCAATATAAAACAAACAAACAAAAAAAATGACAAAATTCAACTAGATAATATATAAATTAACAAGGAACAATTAAAAACTATGAAATTGAAATTTCATCCGATAGTACAACACGATTAAATAAAACATTGCTTTTCAAAGTATACGAACAAAAAATAATAACGAATAAACTATTGTTGTAGAACAAAACAAAAAGTAGACTTTAATAATATAATTACGAATATAATCTTACTAGTTTTTAATGTGTACGATATAATCAAATTCTTTTTTTTATATACATTTCCCAAAAAAATTTCTTAGTTATTTTGAGTAAAATTTAGGAATTGTGCAACAATTTAATTATATTATATTTATATACTATAATATTATTATTACTGATGAAAGAATAAGGTTATAGAAAATATAATTTGGAACATATATACATGTTACGCCTATGTGAACTTCTACCCTTAAACGTTGCTAAGCAACGACGATCCCTGACTGTGTCAAACTCGAGCACAAGCAACCCCTACCACCACTTTGTAACCATCCCTTCTAACTGAACCCCACCTTTTCTCTCTCTCATACACAGACACATTCAGACACATACATACACACATAGAATGGAAACTATAAGCGCAAGTTATTCTCAGGACAATCGCAACAATGTAAAGATTCTCGATTTCATGCGTTAAATAGGAAAATGTTGCATCAAGGTTTGCATCAAGGTTTGCATCAAGAGTTGCATCAAGGGTTGCGTCAAGGTTGCATATCAGGATTCCATTTAATATTAGGGTGAACCAAAAGTTCATGAATTTATTGTGTTTTTTTCAGTTTTTTTTTGTCAGTCAATAAAATTACTTTACATGCAAGTGAAATAAATATCAATATAAAAAAAACAAAAACAAAACACTGTAATATTATTTTTCAATATTAATATTCAATCGAATCGTATTTTGTATTCCGTGATTTTTTAAAGTAATTCGAGGGAAATGGAAAATCGAATCTCGTCCGATTGTAATTCACGAAAGTTTTCTAAGAGAAAAGAAAAAGAAAAAGAAATTATATACTCGAGGAACTAATAATGAATTACGTGAGAAAATTATTTAACATACTCAACACGATCGATAAATCTTCCTTGACTTTTGCTTGAGAAAAAAAAACACACAGACACACACACACGAGAAGATGACGGAAGGATTGTCTTTCTATTTATTTTTCGAAGGATTTTTTTTTCCCCGTGCTAATAAGATTTTCACTTTTTATCACCCCCACCCCCATCTTATTTTCTAAACTTTTCCCCGTACTTGATAATAAATTCAACGAAAGTTTTGCGAAGGGATTCTTTTAAACATCGATATAAGTTGACGACGTCACTTGCGTGGAATATTCAAATAAAAATTTCGAATTTTCTTTTCTTTTCTTGGGGGGGGGGGGGAGAGGTTTCTTTTTTTTTTTTACTTTCTATATACACGAAAAATTTATTAAAAAAAAAAAAAGAAACGTGTCGTACATTTTGTCGAAAAAAATTTATTAACAAAAAAAAGAAACGTGTCGTACATTTTGTCGAAAAAAATTTAAAAACGACACGATAAACTAACTTGCGAACTATTTTTGGTTACACCCTAATATCTTTTATCTCGTATATACAAGAATTAATTGTCCTAAACGTAGAATAGTATCATTAAGAAATCAAGGGTTAACCGACCCTTAAAAAGAAATGCAAGTAATTGGCTGAAACACCCTACTCTTTCCTACAAGTCACTATATCACGCATTTTCTCCCTATTGGCAATAAGGATGACATCTAATTTGATACATTGAAAAAATAGAACAAACGAAAGAACCTCAATTTTGTCATTATACAGAACTATACAATTGTTATGAACGTATCACAAACAGTATCGTTTAAAAATCAAATATTTATATTTAACAAAAAAGTAATTATTTCAAATAGTATTATTTTACACATCCATGAAAATCACTTTTTATCATACAAATGTTTTCCATTAACACTGAACAATCAAATACTATTAATTTAATGCACAATAAATAACCTAATCGTAATCAAAAATTCAAATAATTAATTAAAATTGAATCTTACTTTTTCTGGAAGTTACATTTTATCAGACACAGGTGTTTCCTATCAGTGTACATCACCCATTAATCGCATTTACTAATTTTCATATTACTTTACTATTGGAAAATAATAAATACAAATGAATATTGTTATATTATGTCTACTGAAATGATTATATTACATTACAATTAAAAAATAATAAATACAAATGTATATTATTATATTGTTATACCTTAAAAGTCTACTAAAATGATTATATTACGTTACAATTGAAAAATAATAAATACAAATGAATATTATTATATAATGTTATACCTTAAAAGTCTACTAAAATGATTATATTACGTTACAATTGAAAAATAATAAATACAAATGAATATTATTATGTTATTACATCTATATATATATATATATATGTGAAACCCTAAAAATCAAACTTCTGATCTGAATTATTATGGTGTCACCACTACTATTACTCCTATTACTATTACTACTACAGTAACATATTTTTAGATGGTTTTTAATTAAAATTATGTGCCAAGATGATCGTCAACGATCATCGTCCATTAATTAGCTGTCACACTTAACTCGAATCAAGTCGACAGTAGAGAAATGTCATGCGATAATGAGAACACGAGGATGCAACGGATTCGCTCGATTGCAACTGCAATGATCCAACTAATGCTTCGACATTTCTCTATCCCTCTACCTGTCTCTATCTCTCTCTCTCTCTCTCTCTATCTATCTATCTATCTATCTCTTTCTCATTCTAATCGAATTGCAGACATTTCTGTATACGATCGATTAGGTTCCTACGACATTCGCTTCTGTACCGATCGATTAAATATGGAAACAAGAAAATGTCACGCATTTGATAATAACTAAACGATTTCCATTTCTTCGTTCATTTTTATTTTTTATATTTCATTGCAAAAGAAATTGCAAGAGATTGATATTTCATTATTGTCTAAAATTATATTTAAAATACGTCAGGTTAACGCAAATGAGAAACAGAAATAATAGGAAAACTAGAAATGTTGTGTGTGTGTTATGAATCAATTAATATTATTCTATTGTTAGTGTTACTTTAAAAATTTATTGGATATGTGTGTGCGTATATATTTCGACCTAGTTCGATAATTTGATTTATTTGATTATTGAAATGAAATATAATCGTTAACTTTATATTTTCCAATTAATTTTGAATCGGATTATTAATCGTATTACAATTTTAACGCGAAAATTTCTAATGAAAATTGTACTTTTCCGAATAGATTACAAAGATACATAGAAAACAATATATAAATACAGCTATTATATTATATTTAAAAGAAGAAGAACCCAAAAAAAAAAAGTAAACTGATCGACATTATACATAGTAATGAATTTTAAAATACAAATGTAATATTAAAACCTAAAAGAAACCATAAAAAAAAGAAATTGTTTAACATTGCAAACAAATATGTCTGTTGTTAAACTTAAACAAAGCTGACACACGAACGGAAAGAATAAGAAAAAAGTATTTTAAATTGTCATCGGTAACTGACTAAACGACTAAGGAAGACGAGACAACACACTACTCGCATCCCATTTATGTACCTTACTCGTGTCTGAAACCACCACCGGCACTTATCGTGTGTTCCGTTCTTAAGCGAACCTAAACCAAAAGCAAAAGAGAAAAAAAAGGGAGAACAAAATAGAATGAGCGAGAGGGAAAAAAAAGAATACGTATGAGAAAAGAATAAAAATACAAAAAAAAGAGAAAAAAAGAAAAAAAAGAAGAGAGAGAAAGTTGCATCTCACCGGAACAACTGAAACCTTCTTCTATCCAACCCCTCACTAAACCACCCACCTCTCTGTATAATGTCATCGTCACAACCACCAACCACCATCAACCAACCACCAACCACGTAGAAGTCCATCACAGCAACTACTGAAACTACGAGCTTGCAGTTGCAACTGGGTTTCGTTTTCCACGTTTCACTACTGACAAACTACCCTCTCTTTTTCTCTATTCTTATATCTGAGACAACCCCCTCCACCCTTTCATCTCTTTCTTCCCTCGTTCCCCCACTATTCACAGTTCCCCCTCCTCCCCCTATTCCCTCTCCGCACCCTTCGATAAAGTTCCATAGGGCCACAGAAGAATAACCGGGTGGATGAGTGTGAGTGTGCGATGGGGATGGGAATGGGGGTTGAGGGTGGGAGTGGGGATAATAAAAGACGCACAATATAAGCGTGTGTTGTACCTTGTTACACACTCCCGCGAATGACTTATTAACTTTCTCCCTTTGGGACGTATTGACGTCCGGTTCGATGTCCTCTCTCTCGAGTTTATCGCACCCCCAAAACCTCCCCAGAAACCACCCCTCACGAAAAACCTTTCTACTAGTATTCACGTTCACGTATCATTTATTATTGCTATATATTCTTTTATAAGTTTAACGCAAAAATCATTGAATATATTTGTAACGTGTATTAATTCGTGCATGTTTTAATATTCGATGAAATTATTTTCTTTTTGCAACCCCCTTATAGAACGTATAATTAAATAAATTTTTATATATATATATATATATGTATGTATTGTTTCTATGAATATGAACAAGGGATTGATTGAAAGTATTCAAAGTGTTTTAGTATTCAATGAAATCATTTTCTTTTTGCAACCCCCTTATAGAACGTATAATTAAATAAATTTTTATATGTATACGTATATTGTTTCACTGGGATTAATATATAATATCGTATTATGCTACACTATACTTCTTGCTTTGTCTATAATTATATCACACATGAACTTTGATTTTATGTAACCTATGTTTTTTTTTATTTTTATATCCCACACACGTATAAACAATTAGATTGCAAATTAAACGATCTATCCAAAATATATCTAAAAATGATAGATAAATAATAAATTGTATAAAGACAAAAAATGATATTATATAGTAGAATTGAAAGGATAGATCAAAAATTTATGAAAAAATTTGTCTCCTATTAAGGTGACTTTTCAAGAATATGAGATATCAAAAGGTGGGTGGGGGTGGGGCAGGGGTTTCTACTCTATGCGAGGAAAACGAGATTATCTTGTAGAAAGTACGAGCGTACGAGTATAGTCAACCAAAGCCCCCTCTTATGAGATTCACTTTGCACAACTTTTCTCATAGAAAACGAGAGAGAGAGAGAGAGAGAGAGAGAGAGAGAGATAGTAGTAGTAACAACGAAATGTTACAGAGGTGTGAAAAGAAATATTCTTTATTTTCTTTTTTGTTCAGTTATTCTACTTCTACTACTTCTTTTTGTTTTTCATCTAACTTGAGATTCATTTTAACAGGGTGGTGGATTTAACAGAAATAGAACATTGATGAACGGTGGTGAACACGTCACGTGTTCATCAATAATAATAACCGATAATAATGATCATCATTAATCGGGGGAGAGATTCGTATTGATGATTATACGAAAACAGGATTACGAATGTTAATTAATTCTAGTTTCCATAGGAAATCTGTGTGTTACGTAAATAAGTATTCCAATATATTTTGTTATAACATCATTCATTTCAATCGAACAAATTTAAAGAAAAAAATTAATGATAAAAATGAGATTGTTCTATTCGTAAAAACAAAAAAAAAAAAAACCGAAATATTTAATTTGTAATTACTTACGATCATTTAACAAACTTCTTGATTAAAGTTGAATCACATAGCACGAAGTAACCAGCAATGAAGGAACAAGGATGTGTCAAGAATATTCTTAAACTTCTCGTATAAACTTTTAATATAGACGAAATTATTTTCAGTATTCATAGTTAGAGAAGACACTGCCTGCTGGCTTCTGTTGGCAGTATATATGTAAATGCTCTTTACGTAAGCTTCTTCTCAACGTCTGAATTTAAACTCAAAGTATGTTATAATTAATTCATAAAGTCTTATGGTATACAACATTATGATGTGTCCACTTGCAATACCACACCAGATATATAATACGAGTATTTATCCACGTATATTAAATTCACGAAAAATAAATAATGAAAGAGAGAGAGAGAGAGAAAACAGAAAAATTAAAAGAACAAAAATAAGTATAACTTCAAAACACAAAGATAATTCTTCAACGTGATATCAAAATCAAAAGCGCGAATTAAAGTATCACCGATTGGTTGAAAAACACGACACGAGTCCCCACGAGTATTCGAATGTCCGATTAGTTCCATGGATTTATCACGAATGTGTTGTATCTGTGTATCTATGTATGTATATATATGCATGAGTGTGTATGCACGATGATGAAAACGTTCAAAAACGAAGACGATGTGATAAGATTAATAAATAGAAAGAAAGAAATAAAGATAGAGAGAGAGAGAGAGAGAGAGAGAGAGAGAGGGAGTGTGAGACAGATGGAAAAAAAAATGGGCACGACCACGAAGGACCAGATGAGGAAAGACGACGACAACGTTTCGCTTCGGAGGACGAATAGAAACTGAATAGTTCGCGATCCGAGCCCCGACACGAAATGTAATCGAGAGGATTCTTGGGGAACCACCCCTTATTTCCGAGGGGTTAAAACGGGTTGGTGGGGAGAGCTGCACGAGTAGTCGGATATATTCGGGGCTTCTGCGCACTAGTGCCCCAATAACACACCCCCGTGAGACGATAGGGAAAGGTTCGAGTTACGCTCGAGTACGAACAAATCAGCGATGGCTTTGAGACTATTCAAACAAGAGTATATATATATATATATATATATATATGTTAGTTGTATATACGTATTTATTTATTTATTTGCTTTTTCTGTATTCTTTTTCTTTATATTTTCTTTATGCTCCATTAATTCTTGCCTTTTTTATTTTTTTCATTTTGATTTTATTTAGAAAAATATAAAAGAAAGCCATCAAGTTAGCTTCAAATTTCACCCTACGGTAATTCAATCAATCCTATTATTCTATCCTCTATATAATTTAGCAGGATTGCGATCTCTGGCGACGTACTTAGGCCGAAATTTGTCCAATTCTCTCTCGACACACACACACACACATATATACAAATACAACCCCGTCCCTATATAATAATAGTATATATTTTTCCTTCGTTATCCCCCTATTAATTTACACCAAATGCAAATTACAGTTATTATCTTTGGTATTAGGTGGTTGATATCACATACCTATCTACCTATCTACCTACCTACGTCTCGTTATAAACGAGAACCATGTAGAATTAATCCGTCATGTTTGTAATTGGGGAAGAAGAAAATTGTTGGTTTCGTTTAGAGAGAACCCACGAGATTAAACCGATTTAAAACGATTTGTTTTACAACGTGTAATGATGATGCTATCCGAATTTTGTTTCTTTTTTATTTTCTTTTTTTTTCTCGGCGGTTTTCGCGGTACGACGAAAATTCGAACAACCCTCCAAAGGGTTGGATTGGTTGTTTTCGCACACAGTGATATTTTCCATCCCCCCCCCCTTTTCTGTTTTTTTTTCTCTCTTCTACAATTCCTATTCACGTTTTCTTCTATCCCTTTTTACCCCTCCCCCCTTGAAACCACAACCCCAAAATCCTTTTACCAAACACTTCCTCTTCCACTATCCCTTTTTTTTCTTTCTTACTACTCACTTTTTCTCTCTCTCTCTCTCTTTCTTTTAGGGATACCGGAAAGTTTATTCTCGCATTATACTATCCGATTTCAAGACCTTAAAGAGAGTCACTAACTAACACGATTTCAACCTTGATAATTAAGTTTTCTTCTATTCCTGATCGAAGAAAGGGTAGTAAAAGAAGAAAAAGAAGAAGAAGGGGTTATGGGGAAAGTAGACAAACCTACTGCCCCGGTAATCAATTTTTGTTTCAAAAGGAAAAATTCTTTTTGTCGCATTAAATGTACTCCCTTTAAAATACGAATAAACAGAAAAAAAAAAACAATTTGTATTTGATAGAAAAATCCAATTGATTTTTCTAGATAGATAAATAGATCAAATAATTCGAATTGTATTCGTTTAAATTGAAAAATTATACGCCTAATTCATAAAAAAGAATACGTACACGTAACAGGATTGTAATAAAAATTTGGTTGGATAAAGAAAAGTTTATACTTTTTTTATAGAAAAATCTATGATTTTTCAAGATGGAATATCATATTGTTTTTTTGTTCTATATACATATATATATAGAACAAATAGAACAAATGATAGATATGATATTATATATATTTCATATATATCATATATATATCATATATATTAATATATCAGAGAGAACGAGATAGAAATATTGGGGGAAAAGTAAAAAAAGAAAAAGAAAAAGTTAAATCAATCGGAAAAAGCGTTAGAGCATATATCGAAAACTATCAATGTTTTAGTCGAGGTCCCAGCAACAGGTGATAACGAAACAAAGAGTTACGTTTAGAATTAAGAATACAATTCGTTTCGAAAATAACTTTTCATGGATTCTTCTTCAACCAAAACCCCATCCTTTCATTCGTTTTCTCTCTCTCTCTCTGACACACACATATACACACACACCCCTAAACCCCTAATCAAACAACCAACAACCTACTATCGGTTTTCTAGCAATATCACGACATAAAAACTTCGAATACAATACTAGCGGATAACGAACCAATAACGTTATACAAATTAAATCACAATATCATACAAAATAATATATATAATATAAATGCATATACAAATTTTCTACGCAAGCGAAAGACAGATTTGTACAGTAGGGGATGATCATAAAAAAGAAAAAAAGAAAATGAAGGAAATATATAAATAAATAAATAAACAAATAAAAAGAAATAAAATTTTGATTACTCACCTCAAGCTTGAATGTTTGTTTCGTCACAACAGAAATTCACTTTTCTTTTCGTTACTTCGACGAACCGTAAAAAGAGGGTGAGTGGGTGGGTTGGGGAGGTCGGGGAGAGGATGGATATCGTTCGTTCCTTTTTTTTTTCTTCTTTAAAGGAAAAAGAAAAGGAAAAAATGAGAGGAAAAAAAAAGAAAGAACTTTGTTTGTCGATCTCGCGGAAAACAACGCGATTCGATTGTACTACTTTTCTTAAAATTTTGAAACAAACTATAATTGTATTTCGGAATATATAACTTCTTCTTATTATTTTTCTTCTTCTTTTGTTGATTACCCCACGTTACTTTATCTTCTATTTTTTATTTTATTTGCTTTTTATTTTTTTTTTTTTCTCTTTAAGCAAATCTTCCTCTTACAACAGCATTCATTACTTTTTCGGATTTTTTTTATTCGTTTTCTACTTTTATTTAATAATAATAATAATAATAAAAATCCTCGAAAAAAAGAACGACGTTCGTTACTTAAAAATTTCTTTTGTCTCTTGTTCGTAGGAAGGAAGGAAGGAAGGAAGGAAGGAAGGAAAAGATTTTTGTTGTGTTTGAACGGTTTGAGAAGTACCGGAGGCACGGAATAGTAGTAAAGGGGGGGTACTATCTCTATCAGGCACGAAAAAAGTAGAGAAGGTTTCGGTAGAAAAGGCACACGAGGGATTGAGATAGGACGGACGATGTCTTTTTGTTTTCCTTAATGTTTCTTTTTTCTTTTTTGTTTTTTTTTTTACTTTTTTCTTTTTTTTTTTTTTTTCTCTTTTTAAATTCGAAAGAAATTCTTTGTTGCGTGAAAAGAGTTAAGGAAATTTTTAATGTGAAATGGATTCGTATAGAAATAAAAAGAGAAAGAGGGGGGGTGAAAGTGGTGGGAAGGGGGGAATAAAAGATAGAAAAATTCCATTAAAGATGGAAAATCGAAGATAGTATAGAAAATCTTTGAATATTTATTTATTTTTCTGCGCGAATTTTTAAAATAGACGAGGAAAGTAATAAACGAGAGAGAAAAAGATTGAGAGAGAGAGAGAGAGATAGAAAAAAATAAGGAAAGATCACAGAAAATGTGGGACGAAAGCGTGTGGTTTATTGTCATAGGGATGCGATTATTATTGGACGGCAATTTAAGGCACGAGAGAAATGTTTCGCGACGATGACGACCACTATACGCCATAAATAAATTCCTATTATACGATTAATATAATTCAATCGCAATAAATATAAATAAATCAATATTTCATAATATATAAAACAATGTAATAGAAATATTTTAGAATATATAAGAACAATGCAAATAAATATTTCAAATGAAAACACCATGGATGAGATGGATTTAACAATTGCGAAAATAACTTTATGATAATTTGGAAATATTCTTATGGAGATCTTGTGTGATCAAAGAAACAAAATAAATTTTTCTTTAACACAGGGTGGAATATAATAATTCAATTCTTATGGTTGACAATGTTGAAATATAATACGAATGGAAAATTGGAATAAAAAGTTTGATGAAATTAGAAAAGAAAAATAAGTTAAAGAATAATAATAATAATACATACATACATAACGAGATAGATAAAAATTATTAAAAACAAAACCTGAGAATTATTTTGAAAAAAGTTTTCAAACTCGAGGAATGATTAAAAATTGATGGTACTCATCGTGTTTCTTCGGACGGTCCGATCGGCGGATAATAATAAAAACGTACGCGAACAACGAGTCTTATAAGTCGTCGAATTTATGGAGAACACCATGATGATGATGATGATGATGATGATGATGATAACGATGATCGGCACGTTCTCTTCCGATACGATAGTTTCCGATCGCGAACGATACCATCGAACAGTACCACGAAGAATCCATTTTCTTGTTTTATTTCGGAACAACCAAAAGTAATGAATATAATCGACAATTTCAAATAAGAAAAATTCAACTTTGACTGTTCAACGTGACGAGGTATATCAAAAAGAAAAAGATAATGTAATAAAAAAGGTAAAACGAATGGACAAAATAAAAGAAACAAACAAAAATGAATTAAATGTACGATAATAATACACACACAAAAACAGAGAGAACAAAAATAAAATAAAAAAGGGCAAAAATAATGTAAAATAAAACAAAAACAAAAAGATGAAAAATAATGAAAGAAGGTAAAGAATAAGATTGACAAAATAATTTTAGGTAAGGATATTTAAAAAGTGAAGAATAAAATAGAAAATAATATAGATATAGAAAATATAGTTAAAAAGATAGATATAGAAGTTAGGATTAAAATAGAAGGACTTAGAATGCGATGTGATATTGTAAAGAAGGTACGGCGTGTTAGGATAGAGAAGGGAAAGGACGAGGATGTTACTCCGAGCGGTGTCGCCAAAGAAGTGATAGGTTTGCGGCCTCGTGCATGCCACCCAAACCATCCTCCTCGAGGGTTAAAACTCGCGACGCTCCCTTAGATCGCGCCTGCGTCGCTACGAAATTCGTAACCCGATTGGTCCATCGGAGGAATACCAAGGTAACCCTCCTTTCTCACCAATCCTCGTCCTTTCTCACTTCCCACCACCCTTTTCCCTATGTTTCGCTAAATCTTCTTCCCATTTTTTCTTTATTTTCTCTTATATTTCTTTCTTTGCGTGTGTTACGCGTGCATATGTGTGTGTATGTGTATACATCACTTATACATTTTTATTCCTCTGTAAGGCCACGGTTACGTTAAAAACATACCCCCTCCCCCATTCTCCTTACTTTTTTATACTTATGTATTAACAATCCTCCCCACTCTCCTCTCTTTTTCTCCCTTCCATTA